CATGATGTAGAGAGAGATACAGAGATAGAGATATTTATTCGAAAGTGGCTCACACAGTTGTGGAGGCCAAGAAGCCCTGCCACCTGCAAGCCAGAGAACCAGGAAAGCTGGTGTCACAATTCAGTCCGAAGTCTAAGTCCAAACGCCTGAGAATCAGGGCAGCTGTTGTTGTAAGTCCAAGTCCAGAGGCCTGAGAAGAGGGGAGGGGACCAGGAGCATGGGCACCCAAGGGCAGGAGGTGGATGAATGTTGCAGCTCGAACAGAGACAGCGGACTTGCTCTTCCTCCACTTTTGTTCTGTTTGGGCCCTCAATGAATTGGGTGATGCCCACCTGCATTGGTGAGGGCAGATCTTTGCTTAGCTTTCTGATTCAAATGCTAATCTCTTCCGGAAATATCTCACAGATATACTCAGAACCAACGTTTCGCCAGCTATCTGGGCATCCCTTAGCTTAGTCAAGCTGACGCATAAAATTAACCATCAAAATGAACGACAATGCTGTTCTTTGTGAAGGGGCAGCTGGATGTGTCAAGGCAGGGAGCTAATTATGGCGGCCTCCAGGCCTGAGGCACAGCGTCACCAGCAGAGGGCAATGCAGGGACAGAAGTCAATGAAACGGGGAGGGGGTGCGACCGTGGAAGGTTGTGCTGGGACAGATATTCCAATACCCAGTTCTAGAAGTAACATTGAACTCGGTAGGTTTTCTGATTAACTGCTGCAGCTGCTTTTCCCTCCTGAGCTCAGTAAAGAGAAGGGGAGAGGCCAAAGTCTGAAGGAGAAAATGGCCTCCTCGGCTAAGTTCTTCCATTTCCAAGGACACCTGTGAATATCTTTAGAACTCTGGGAGCGAGTAGGGAAGTTTCTTCAGAATTTTGGGCAGGGGTTCTTGTGCCCCTTTCTGTGTTAGGCTACATGGAGCCTGGTGCAATAGCACTGACTCCCTTACATGTTCCTACGGGTTCCAATACGTTTGGAACCCGCTCCGCAGCCGCTTGCTAATTTCTTTAATAATGTCCATGCAGGTCAGCTGTTTTCAGCTGACCTTTGCACACAGGTGGCTCAGGCAGGTGTTTCCGCCTGGCCCTTCATTCACCTTGCTCCCATTCTTTCCATCTATCCATCCTTTCTTCTAGGCCCAGCTCCCACATGCCCCCTTTTTGTATATTTAAAATTAGGGACAGAGTGTGGGTGGAAGAAAGATGTAAGCTTCAGCCAGAGCCTTTTCATAATGGCGTTGGGAGGCCATCATTTGGCAGATCCATCCAAGAAAGTAAAAGAAAGTGACAAGACCAAGCACGACCTGTTGATAATGCATTTTTGGGTGGTCATGGCAATGCACCATGTTGTCTTATGTAACTTGGTCACGCCCACAGGAGTATTAGAGGAATGATAAACTGACTCTGATGTTAAACAAGTCTGTTCCATTTCTCTGCCAGGAACATGGAGGCAACCATACTCCTCCAGTCCTTGTCAAGTCATTGGTAGACCGAGATCTCCAAGTCCCACCATGTTAGGGGTTAAACACAGGCAGGGTTGAGATATGAGCCCAGGAAACTGCAGCCATACTGCCTTGGAGAAATAGGAGAAAAATAGGGTACCTGACTGCTATTACAAGCAATAGCCAAATATGCCACAAGAGTGTCCCCTGGGGTAGGAGGAGTCCCCAGCTGCGTTATCATAGCAGAGGCCTGTGTCTCTAGTTGTCTCAATTGACCCCACGTGATCCTGGGCACCTTCCTGGTGTTCCGTGTCCGTCAGGGGCGAGGCCCCCGTTGGCAGTGGCTGGAGGGAGAGACATTTGTGAAATCCAGCTCATGATGTAGGCAAACTCATCTGGAAGGGAGCCACTCGGGACCTGTAGAAGTTTGAACACAAACATATTCTCTCTTCCCCAAATGTTAACACACCAAAAGGGTGGTCTCAGCTTCCTGCAGGGTCCCATCGCTGCACCCACACTTTCTATTGGGGCTCGGGTTGGGATCCAGAAAGGGAGGTGTAATGACGGAGGACCAAGGTGGAGGGCGGCTGGAAACTGGACAAAAATCAAGAAATTAGGAGTGTGCATAATGCTTTTGCTGCTCTTTGTTGTGGAGGGGCAGGGTACTCCCCCTTTGGTTTTTCCAATTAATTTTTAAAAGTTCAGTTGGTCTGCTCAACAACTGCCTGTCTGGGAGAGTTCTGTGGAGTGCCGGTGATGTGGAGAATGTTCCAGTCCTGGAAAGTATTCTGAAAGGCAAGTGCGTGTAACAGGGTCCATTATCAGTCTTTACCGTAGGAGGAAGCCCGAGATAAGGATGGAGTTTAACAAATGCTCGCCTGATAATGGAGTGGTCTGGATCATTCCTAAGTATCAACAGTTACAGGTAGACACTGAAGGTGCCTGAAGGCAGGGAAATGAGTAAAGTCCATTTGCCACAGTTAGGAGTTAAGCCACGAGGATTAACCCCAGACGAGAAAGGCACACCCTGTATAGATTAACAAACTGAGCAGACAGGTTTTATCTGACAAGGTCGTGTCTGGGTCATGGGAAACTGTTTAGTAAGCTTTTGAGTGTTTTGGCAAAAGAACCGATGGGACATTATAGCATTTTTAAAGGCAGTAGTGGAACATACATGGTAGGAAACGAGATGATCAACAGCATTATTTCTTTCTGTCAGAGCTCCAGGCAAAGGGGTATGAGCATGAATATGAGAAATGAAGCAGGAGTGTCGCCAGATATCTAATAAACGCTGTAGAACAAGGAGCTAAAATTTGATTAGGTGTATCCTTAATGATAGCATTTTCGATATGAAGAACGGAATAGAATGCATAACGGGAGTCAGTGATGATGTTTAGGGGTTCTAATGGAAATGTTAAAGCTAATATAAGCACCCCTAGTTCTGTTTGTTGAGAGGAGGGAAAACCAGAGGTGGATAAATATTTCCAATTACCGTCTTTCCACTGTCTTTCCTTTCTTCTAGGCCCAGCCCCCACAATTAGCCATCCAATGGAATTAACCAAAAACAACCAGATCAAAATCTTGCAAAAATTGGGAGTTGCGTTGCCTCTGAAACCACAAGGGTAGCCCAAAACAGCCCATGATCACACCCCAACAGTGATTCTCAAACTTAGCTGTGCATTAACATCACCTGGGGGGTTTAAAATTGCCGATGCCAGCCCCCACCTACGTCCAATTAAATTTGCAACTTTGGTGGTAAGGCCCTTTGAATGCTCCCACAAATCATTCTAATGTGAATGCAAGGTTGATAAGCACTGCTCCACACTTAAGCCAGTCCTTAGGCTCCCACCTCCAATAGGAAGTAGACGCCTCTATGAGAGGTATTCATTCCTAGCAGGGTGGCCAGATATAGTACAGGATGCCCAGTACAGTTTCAGACCAACAAATATTTTTTTCGTATAAGTATGTGCCAAATATTGCATAGAAAATACTTACATCTAAAGCAATTAATACATTAATTGCAATTAATACATTAATACATCTAAAGCAAGTCCTGCTTTCAATGATCGTCCTGAGCCATCTATGAACACTGGGTGGCAGGAGTGGTATAGGGGAGCGCTTTGTAAGGGGTTGTACAGGAACTAAGGAGAGAGTGGAGAGAAGCTTGTCGAAGGGGTAATGGAAGGAAAGAGAACCTATGTGACTCGCAGGGGCTGATTGCCAAAGTAAAAAATTACGCAAAGTTGCTTAGAAGCAGTTTTTAGGAATAGGGAGATTTATACGGTGTGTGGATCTAATCCAAGTAATTGTTGTGTAAGACAGCACCCCTTAATAATTGAAGGGACAAAGATCTAGAAGGGGAGAAAAGGTTTTGGGGGGAGTGTGAGATAAAAATAACCATTCCAAAGGAATATGGTGTTGATTGGCCTACAAGAGCAGTTGGAGATAGGGGGGATCATTTAATATTCCTTGCGGAAGGACTGTCCAGTGATACCTGTGGACCGGATGGGCATTATAAGTGGGAACAGAAAATGCAAATCTTTCCTGGTTTTATTTTGCTAGAGGAATTGTGAAAAAAAGAATCTTTTAAATCAATTACAATCAAAGGCCAACCTCTTGGAATTAACGACAGGTGGGGAACACCAGGTTGCAGAGGTCCCATTGGGACTATAACAGCATTAAGAGCTCTTAGGTCCTGCAGTAAACACCGCTTATTGTTCTTTCTAGGTATAATGAATACAGGAGTGTTCCATGGTCTCAGGGAAGGTTCTATGCATCCTGCTTTAAGTTGGTCCTGGACAAGAGATTTTAAATGTTTTAATTTATCCTGCTTAATGGGCCACTGCTCTATCCAGATGAGCAAATTAGTCCACTGTAAAAGTGTGGCTTGTATTGGATGCATCTGAGCAGTGGGGCCCTAATGAAAAAGCTGGGTAGTTAGAAGATTCCATTGTTCTAGCAAATCTCATCCCCATAAAGATTGACCCTCTCATAGGCAATGTTGAAAAGCAGATGGTTGAGCAGAGAAGGAATAGAGATCCCCTTGGAGAGGGGAGAGGAGGAGGAAGCTGTTCCCCCTCTTGAGCCACAGAAGGTGATGGTGGAGAGAATGGCTCTGGATTCGGGAATTTGGGCAAGAGATGCCTCCATCGAAGCAGACGGCAGGGGAGGAGCAGCAGGAGCGGGTTCCAAGGGATTAGAACCCATAAGAACATGCAAGGGAGTCAGCGCTGTTTGCACCAGGCTCCATGTAGTTGACGTGGCAAGGGGGCACAGGAACACGGCCCAAAATTCTTCTTAAACTTCCCCAGTCACTCCCAGAGTTCTAAATCTAATGTGCCCTCACCTGGGAATCTGGGACAATGTTGCTTTACCGCACATAAGAGCTGCTGTTTAAGGCTTTTGGTTCAATGGAATACTGGGCAGCTTTCAAGAGCTGCTGCAAAGTGCGCAGATAGATTCGCTCATCTTTTGTCAGGTCTTGCCCCATGTTAGAAATGCCCTTCTGAAACGACACGCATTGGTCCCTTTCCCAAAGCAGCGGGCGGGACTGTCCCTTACCGGGATGATTCCCCTTGTAATCCGGACGACAAAAATGCTCACTGGACGCGGGGGTTCCTGAATCACCACTTGTTGCAGCTGCTTTTCGCTCCTGAGCTCAGTAGCAAGGGAATGAGTAATTACTCGAAACACATAGTGTTTAGAGAGACCAAAATCTGAAGGAGAAAATGGCCTCCTCAGCTAAGCGTCTCCCCGTATTTATTTCCAAGGACACGTGCAAATGGTCAGGGCCGTTTGCTAATTTAACAACTTCCATGCAGGTCAGCTGTTCTTAGCTGATATTTGCACTCAGCAAACAAGCAGCTTTGGGCAGGCATTTTCTCACCTGACCCTTCATTCACCTGCTCACATTCTTTGCATCCATCCATCCATGCATCCTTTCTTCTAGGCCCAGCCCCCACAATTAGCCATCCAATGGAATTAACCAAAAACCACCAGATCAAAATCTTTCAAAAATTGGAAGGGAGTTGCATTGCCTGTGAAACCACAAGGGTAGCCCAAAACAGCCCGTGATCACACCCCAACAGTGGTTCTCAAACTTAGCTGTGCATTAACATCACCTGGGGGGTTTAAAATTGCCGATGCCAGCCCCCACCTACGTCTAATTAAATTTGTAACTTTGGTGGTAAGGCCCTTTGAAAGCTCCCACAAATGATTCTAATGTGAATGCAAGGTTGACAAGCACTGCTCCACACTTAAGCCAGTCCTTAGGCTCCCACCTCCAATAGGAAATAGATGCGTCTATGAGAGGTATTCCTTCCTAGCAGGGTGGCCAGATACAGTACAGGATGCCCAGTACAGTTTCAGACCAACAAATATTTTTTTCGTATAAGTATGTGCCAAATATTGCATAGAAAATATTTATCCTACTCGTGTTATTCATTCTGTATTTGTATTTGCTAACTCTGGCCACCTTAGCCCCCAGGCCTCACTGCACAGATAGCCACGGAGAACATTTTCCCGAAATGCAGAGCAGAGAACAACAGAGAATCTGACCAAGGCTTTTCAGCCAACTGCTGGGTGGGGAGTCCTTGCTGGATTGTGAGCAGAGTTTGCTAGACTGTCACTAAGATGAGCACTTAGCACAGAGCCTGGCACTCAGTAAACCTGTGACAAACATTAGTCATCATGCTGAGGAAAGCTTCATTTATGAAAATGAACTTATGTGCATAAGTAGGCATCACCTTGGTATTCATTTGAGCAGAAAATCTTTCTATACCACATCAACTGTGATCTGGTTTGTAAAATAACGATGTCAGTTTCAGCTTTCCAGGAACGTGTCTCCAGGCAAACATCTGGTGTGACTGTAGGAGTGTCCTGCCCCTTTCTTGTGGTTTCTGCCCCTTTCCATGTTTCTCTACCCTTCTCCCAGTATCTTTGTCCATCCGGGATTTGGATTATTTGGGAAAACAAAACCCATAGAGTCAGTCTTCACAAGGAAAATGCTGGTTTACCTTTTATGTAAGAGCCATCAATATTTTCAAATGCGGTGCTGGGCAAAAACATTTAATAAGCATTTGTCATTTGACATACATGGTACAGTTTCTGCGGAGAGAGCTGATCGCACTCATCGATCCACATGCTGAAGGGAAAAGGGAGGAAAGGTGAAGAAGTTGTCTTAAGATGTCTGAGAAAGCACTCGGTATACAACACAATGCAACAGTAGAGATCAATTACAAAAATTAAATATGATACACAAACTGAAAGTTAAGGAGGGCCCCGGTGTGTGGCCGGGCGTGGTGGGTGGGGACCCACAGGAGAGGTGGCTGCCAGGGTTGCAAGGTCACTGCCTGGTTCAGGCCCCTGGTCCCCACCGAGCCCACTGAGGCCACAGGGTTCCTCGCTGCTCCCAGGCCGCTCAGGCATTCAGCTCCAGGTTGGTGACGTATTCCTGGACCCAGGCCTCACCGGGGTCGGCACACACCTGCCGGCCTCTCTTGGTGAGGAAGCTGCAGAGAAGGGTGGGAGGATTAAACACTCAGGAGCCCAGCAGGGAAATCCCGTGGCCCCTCCATCCTTCTCTGCCCCAGACCTCTCAGGGCCTATTCGTGTGCTCATAAAGTCTCCCCTTAACCTTGGGGCTCACAGACCTCCCCTGAGTGCCCCAGATGGCGGTTTCCCCAGGGCAGGTCCTTCGTGACTCTGCAGGCTGCCCCAGACGGATGAGAAAATACTTCGGGAGCCTCCCCTGGAGTCCTACGCCCTAAGAAAGAGGAGTACCCTGGGGGGGGCCTCACCCCAGACCTCCCGGCCTGCCTCCCCAGCGGTAGACAGGAAGACCGGCCCTTACATGACAGCTGGCCTGGAGCACTGGCTGCTGGTCTCAGAGTAGTCGTCCACGGATCGGAGTGGAAGCTGCCAGGAGATATAGGAGAAGCAGCAGGCGGTCGGGGTGCCGGCTCCAACTGCGAGGGACAGAACGGAAAGGTCTTAAGTCACTGCCCAGAAGAAGGGGCAAGCCTTAACTTCTCTCTTCCGGTGTTTCTCATTCTCTGTCTGTCTTGGCTCTGAATCTCTATGTCCCTCTACAGGAAATTTAGTTTTCTGAACAAACTTCTTCTCATCCTCTCTCTCCTTGGGGAGTTCCATCTGGAATTCATGAGGAGAGGCCACATCCCTGGGAACCATTTGGACCCAGATTCTATCTCTTGCCAAAATCCCAGGTGGGCCTCTGTTTTCTCACCCATAGAATGGGACTCGCTTTCCCTCTGTCTCCCAGAGTGAGAGAAGAGAATCACTAGAACTCCTTAGGAAGAAAAATCCCCAAAGTTCTTCTCTACTTGTCAGGCACAGACGTTGGCACTGTGGTCCAAGCACGGCCAGAGAGTAGGGGCGCGGGCAGAAGGCAGACTCACACGAGGCAGAGCAGGGCTGGGGGCGCAGGGCCTCCGTGAAGAACAGGGCGGCAAGGGCGGCCGCGGGCACCCGCATGACGCTGGGCAGAGTGTGAGCCCCAGTGGTGGCCTCGTAGAGTTGAACTTGAGGACTTGCAGCTGCTTCTTCCTCTGGGGTCTCAACTCTCCCCCCCTCTTCATAAGAAGCCCTGGGAGACTGAGGGGGAAATTTTTAATCATCGTGTTGGTGTCATGCTGTGTGTTGCACGAACCCAGAGAGCTTTAGGTCACCACGAGGGCTCAGTCCGTTGCTTCCTTGATGGGGAAATGGTTTCCACGGTGAGAGGAGGTGAGATGCTGGTGTCACCCCGAGACTGGGGTAGCTGGTGCCTCCTCAAAAGAGCAGATCTGTAGATAAAACATTTCTCCCACAGAGTTGACCCTCCTGATATCCTCCCCAGCTGTTCTAACAGCATAGATGTACCATTGATGAGAAAGCCAGAGAGTCGTGAGAAGTGCGACCCAAGATAGAGCCACGCCCTGGACAAGGACAGACTGGGGAAGCCTCAGCTAACAGCAGGGGCAAGGTTGAGGTGGGCCTTTCAGACACTGGCTCATTCATCAAACACTCATTGAACCTCTACAATGTGCCAGTCCCCCAGTTCGCTGGGTTAGCTGGGAACTAACACAAATGATGAGCCTTAAAGTATTGCTACCCTTTGATCAGCAAAGCGCCCTGCTTGCCAGGGATCTAGGCTATGGCTACAAACACAAAGATGAAGAAAGTATTTGTCCCAGCTTATTTGTGACAATTAAAAGGTGACCTATTCCATTGGAAGTGAGGAGAAAAAAAAAAAAAAGTGACCTACAACTTAATAAACAATGATATATTCACCTCTTATAAGAATAATTAGCACTTAAAACTGAGAAAGTCATCAGAAATTTAAAAAGGAAGTTTTCATTTCTCAAAATTCCTGGAACATTTCCTGTTTCCTTACTGTAAAGTCAAGATGGCCATGGCCAGAGTTTGTATGGCAGCTCAATGATGTTATCCAGAACTCAGCCTTCTTAAAACATTTCTCCTTTCCTCATCATTTTGTTGGCTTTTCTTCTTTGGGCCTGCCACCTCATGGTCACAAGACGGCTGCTGCTTCTTGGTCAGCACATCTTCACATCTCATAGGAGGGGATCTTACAGGAATACAGAAAGAACAATGTTAGTAGTGTTTATTATTCAAATTAGTTTTACACTACTTAAAATGTGAAATACAGATTATACCCAAAAGTAGTAAAAGCTATCTTTAAAAATATATGAAATACAGTGTAGGAGTGTTCCTCTCTCTCCGCAACCACGCCAGCATTTATTGTTTGGAGATTTTTTGATAAAGGCCATTCTCACTGGAGTTAAGTGATATCTCATTTGTGGTTGATTTGCATTTCCTGATGATTAGAGGATGATGAGCATTTCTTCATATGTTGGTTGGCCATTCTTCTGTCTTCTTTAGAAAAGTTTCTGTTCAAGTCCTTTGCCCACTTTTTAATGGGGTTATTTGTTTTTTTCTTCCTAATTTTCGTGAGTTCTAAGTATATTCTAGTTATCAGTTCTGCTGGGGACTGCAAAACTAGTTCAAACCTCTGTGGAAAAGCAATATGGAGATACCTTAAAGCGATACAAGTGAATCTACCATTTGATCCAGCAATCCCATTGCTCGGCATCTACCCAAATGATCCAGTGACACTCTACAAAAAAGACACCTGCACTCGAATGTTTATAGCAGCACAATTCATAATTGCAAGGCTGTGAAACAGCCCAAGTGCCCATCAATCCAAGAATGGATTAATAAAATGTGTATATGTATCCATGGAGTACTATTCAGCTCTAAGAACAATGGTGATATTAGCACATCTTATATTTTCCTGGTTAGAGCTGGAACCCATACTACTAAAGTGAAGTATCCCAAGAATGGAAAAACAAGCACCCAGATATATTCTCCAGCAAACTGGTATTAACTGAGAGCAACCTAAGTGGACACATAGGTGCTACAGTAATAGGGTATTGGGAGGTGGAGGGGAGGGAGGTGGTATATACATACATAATTGATGAGATGTGCACCATCTGGGATGGCTCATGATGGAGACTCAGACTTTTGGGGGGACGGGGGGAAATGGGCATTTATTGAAACCTTATAATCTGTACCCCCATAATATGCCAAAATAAAAAAAATTAAAAAATTAAAAAAATATATATATGAAATACAGAAAATAAAAACTAATTTATATAAGACTATATAAAAAACTAATTTATATATATAAGCGGGGTAGGCAGCAGGGCAAATGCAGGCAAGGATGTGGGGGTTTTCCTCTACATTCTTACTTTCCTACTGTGGCAGACATGAGTTCTGAGGCATAATCTGAGTAAATATTTTTTCCTTGAAGGTAGGAAAAATTCTATTACCCAAACCTTACCACTATTAACAGTTCAGTTTATTTAAGTACAGTTTTTTTTTTTTCTAGGCTTATCATAGTTCTGTTTGCTTACTTGCTTTTTTCCTTACTTGCTTTTTACCTTCTTTTTACCGTGTGGCAGCAGGGGGTGGATTATTGTTGTCATGCTGCAGATGTAACTTTGTATTTTTCTTATCTATATAGTTGTTTGTTGCTTAACATCGGGGATCTATCTGAGAAATGTATCATTAGGCAATTTTGTCTTTCATCGTTGTGCAAACATCATGGAGTGTACTTACACAAACCTAGATCGTTTAGCCTACTACACACCTCGGCTGTACCATATAGCTTATTGCTCCTAGGCTACAAACCTGCACAGCATGTTACTGTACTGAATACTGTAGGCAATTGCAACCCAGTGGTAAGTGTTTGTGTGTCTAAGCATATCCAAATATAGAAAAGTTACAGTAAAAATATGGTATTATAATCTTATGGGTCCACTGTTGTATGCACAGTGTCACTGACCAAAATGTCTCTATGCAGCACATGATAGTACTTAATGTTAGAAGACTTTTCCAAATCATTCCAGTATTTTTAAGAACTGCCTAATTTACGCCCTCATCAGCTTAGTGAATTCATGTTGTCATGCAGTACTGTAGCACATTTGGACTGGTTCCAATTTTTAACTGTTATAAACTGTACCAAACATCTTTATACCCAAAACTTTCTCCATCAATGAGGTTATTTCTATAGGATATTTTCCTAGCTATAGGCTTCCTGGGTCCAAAAAATAAGGACATTTAAGGATCCTGGAGTATACAGATACTCTCATCTAATGCATATTTTGGCCTGTTACCCAGTGTGTCAATCCCAAGTATGGCATATTGCAGGGACCTGTGAATGTTTGATGACTCAAAGAGTGATTAAAATGATTCTTATCGTCCCTGTAGCCCAGACCTTCCCTATTCCATTCTGTCCATTGGAGTCTGGATCAAACACAGCCTGGGTTACTTAAGATTCTGCCGCATCATCCTATATGTCCCATCTGTGCAGCCAAAACACCTGTGAAGAACATTGGACGTATCTGCTCCATGGGAGGAATGAGAATGGTGCTATTCGTGGCTCGATCTGTTCCCGGCAGAAGGTGCCAGCTCAGCTGAGCCTCTTGGTGACGCCGGCTCTTGACTTCACCCTCACTGGTTAACCATTTCTTGAGAACACTCCAGCCAACATGATGTCATGGTCCTTGTCACCCAAGGCTTGGTTTGGCTGTGACTCTTGCTCCCCAGGATGCTGTGGCATCCCAATATATGTCACCCCATGTGCTTGGTGGCGGAATCAGATCTGTAGATCTCTCCGTGTACTTATGGTTCTAACACTAACATCTCACCTCCTCTCACTGTCAAAAACATTTCCACCTAGTCAGCCCCAGCAAGTGAGCAACTGAGCTGGTCTTGTACATCCTGAACCCTTGTGGCAGCCCAGCGTGTGCGACTCAGAGCATGACACCACGCAATTCACATCTTCCCCTCTGGTCATCCCCGGCCTCCAGCTCCTCGTGGTCTAGAGCTGCCTAGAAAGGGCCAGGGACATGGCTTGGGCCCCGGAAGGGTACAGGCAGCAGTGAGTGCCCAGTCCTGTCCTGGCTTCGTCCGCACTCCTCCCCCTGCCCGGCACCAAACAGGTCCCCACAGCTGCCCTTGTCAACCGTCTCCTCACCATGGCCCCCACCCCACAAGTCTCATCTGTCCCACCAGACTCTCTCAACCCTGTCCTGTCTTCATTTTATGGTTGTTTCCCAACGCTCCAGACAGACATCTAAATCATATCTTTTAATTCCTGTGGCCAAAGACTCTTTAAGTAAAAGCCAAGAACTTCACAGAAGGCTTCAAAATGTTCTGGGCTATTTTCCACGGACTTTTGTCCAATCCAGTTCCTGGAGTCTGAAGGGCAAGGGAGGGCTGGGACCCACTTTTAGTTGGGAAAACTAAGGCCCAACTCAGCCATGAACAAGATGCAAACTCCAGATCTCGTTGGTCCCTAGAGTGAGCAAATGGCAGATAACGCTCAGTTTCACTCTTGGGGTGATTTACGCAAGATGGACTCTTGCTGGGAAATGTCTCCATAGGCTGATGGATGAAGTTCCCCAAAAAGAAATGGAACAAGAGACAGCTGTGGCAATAGCTCTATTCCCTGAAGAGAGAGCTAAGAACTGAGAGTAAGACAGAGGCAGAGATTTAAAATAAAAACTCAAGGTAGAGAAGAAATGCCTGGCTTCCTCAGTTCCTTTTGTGCCTTACTCCACAGCCCTGAGCAGTGACGTCTCCGTCAACTTATCGCTGGCCCCTTCGGAGGGTAGAAGAAGTTGACTTGGCTTTTTCAGGTTCTGCATGCCCATTCCCTCACGGCTAGGGCAGACACCCACTGCCTGCTGCCTCTCCTATGTTTCTCCAGATCCATTGCATATTTCTTGATGGTCATTGTGACTCCAGCAGCCAGTGCTCTGCCCTGGCATCATGTTGGGACCAGCCCTGTCTGTGGATAGGCATAGTGCATGGAGGAGAAAACCCACGGGACAGGGGCAGAGAGCAGGTAGGCAGCGGTGGGAAGGTGGGAGCTAATCTAGACTTCGTTACCTGGTGAAAATGCCCTTCAAGAGTAAGGTGAGATGGGGACACATCCAGGAAAACAAAAACTGGAGACTTCATCATCAGAAGACCCACAATAGAGAAAATAATAAAGAGATTCCTTAGGCAGAAGAAAAATGATTCCAGATGAAGCTCAGAGAGGCAGAAGGATTAAGAGAATAGGAAGAGCAAGGATGTAGTGAAAACTAAATGAACATTGACTATATAAAGTAATTAGAATATGTTATAGGACAGCAGTCCCCGACCTTTTTGGCATCAGGGACTGGTTTCATGGAAGACAATTTTTCCACGAACCGGATGGGGAGGGGATGCTTTCGGGATGACTCAAACACTTACATTTATTGTGCAATCAAACTTCTCCGCTAATGATAATCTGTATTTGCAGCCTCTTCCCAGCACTAGCATCTCTGCCTCAGATCATCAAGCATTAGATTCTCACAAGGAGCTGCAACCGAGATCCCTGCATGCGCAGTTTACAGTAGGGTTCCCGATCCTATGAGAATCTAACGCCGCCGCTGATCTGGCCGGAGGTGGAGCTTATGCAGAGATGCAGGTGATGAGGAGCGGCTGTGAATACAGACGAAGCTTCATTCACTCGCCCACCACTCACCTCCTGCTGTGTGGCCCAGTTCCTAACAGGCCAATGACCAGTACCAGTCCATAGCCCAGGGGTTGGGGACAACAGGACTACACTGTCAGCTCTTCTGGGTCTCTCCCTTGCCAATTCACCCTGCAGATTTGGGGACTTGTCAGCTTTTGTAATCATGCCAGTCAATTCTGACTTCCTTTTTTTTTTTTTTTTTTTCTGTTTTTGAGACAGGGTCTCACTCTGTGGCCTGGGCTAGACTGCAGTGGTATCATCATAGTTCCCTGCAACCTCAAACTCCTGGGCTCCAGTGATCCTCCTGCCTCAGCCTCCCAAGTAGCTGGGACTACAGGTGCACGCCACCACGCCCGGCTAATTTTTCTGTTTTTTGTAGAGACGGGGTCTCACTCTTGCTCAGGCTGGTCTCAAACTCCTGAGCTCAATCCTCCTGCCTCAGCATCCCAGAGTGCTAGTGTTACAGATGTGAGCTACCGTGCCCAGCCCAATTTCTTATTTGTCACACACACACACACACACACACACACACACACACACACACACACACAATTGGTCCTGTTTCTCTGGAGAACCCTAACTAATTACAATGGTCCTTCTGATAAAAGGTGCTAGATCCACTGGATATCCCATGGCAAAACATAAATCTTGAACCCTTCTTCCCACCAAATGTAAAAATCAACTTCAGATGGATTGTAAATTTAAATATCAATGCTAAAATACTAAAGCTTCCAGAAGTTAACCTAGGAGGATATCTGTATTACCTTAGGATAGGGGACTATTTCTCATCAGATCACAAAAGGTCTCACCATAAACAAAAGATTAATGTGTTTGGCCACATTAAAATTAATAACAACTATGGAAGCCCCTCCCCCAGCATTCTACCCTGTCAAAGGAGGGTGTGACCACTCGCTTCAGAGAGAGATCTGTCACGTGAAAAGGAAACAGCTAAGCATGAACCCAGGGTTTACAACTCAACATGACACCACCGTACTTAAAATTGCTTGCATAGGCATTTCCAATATCTGTGCTCCCGTGGTCCAGGGCAGCCTATAAAAAGGAGGGAAGACGGCTCAGATCCCAGAAGGAGGCCAGCACTCGTGAGTTCCCAGCCCTGCTCGCTCTGCTCACTCTCGGCTGCCTGTCCAGCGTCATGAAGGGCCTCGCGGCTGCTCTCCTCATCCTCCTCTGCACCATGGCCCTCTGCTCCAGCGCCAAGGGTGAGTCTGTCGTCCATGTGCCTTTGACGGTTGCTCCCTGGCCAGAAGTCAGACCACACCTCCCAGTGCTGTGACCTGAGAACCCCCATGTGAAATGAGGGAACCCCGAATCGGGTTTCAAACTGACATCATTGTTTTCTTTAAGAGGATTCAAAAGGAGTCTATTGATCTGGGCTGCAAGATGGGAGTTGGGAGAGATTTTATCCTACTTTTTAGGTGAGATGATCAGAGTCTAATCTGTTGGGATATTAGCAGGAGGTAGAATCCCTGTCTGTTTAGTTCCCACTGGTGCTAGCAAGTTTTAGAATTATCTCCGTGGTTTCCCAGAGTTCAACCCCTTGGGTGACTTATAAGAGATGGCCTTACTTTTCTCAGCTATCTTATGATTTAATAGACAAGAAAAAAATGTCCCCAAAGAGAGTTAGGAGAAGGGAGTAGACTATTCAGAGAGCTTGGTTCCTTGTAGAGTTAAGATAAAGACCAAAAATGCTGAGACAAAACCAAAGACAAGACTAGGGAAATGAATGAGAAGTAAACCAACAAACAAAAAGCCAAGTTATTTCCAGTTACCTTTTCCCCCAGGCCTCGACTCTGAGCTATGCTGTCTCTCTCTACTTCTTCTGACCCTTTCAGACTTAACTGTTCTGAGCAACTCTTTGTCCTAGGTCCTAAAGACGGTGACGTCACAGCCGCCTGCTGCTTATCCTTCATCTCCCGGCGGATATCCCGCAAATATGTGGTGGCCTATCAAAAGACCAGTAACGATTGCCCCACACCTGGTATCGTGTAAGTATCGGTCTCCTGTCCATCCCAGGAGACACAAGACTCACATGACTAGGGGTGGGGCTGGGGGTGAGGGTCACTGCCCACAGGAATCAGATCTGGGAAAAGCTGGCAAGAGCACCAGCTGATGGAGAAGGAGCCATCCTGGGAGGGCTCAGGCCTCTGGGGTCCTGTGTGTGTGCAGGACACTGAGAGAGGCCACTGGGCTGTCCCCTGACATGGGCCGGGGCCTACAGGGAGTGAGGGAGGACCTGCCCAGGCGTAGAGTGAAGGGAGGAAAGAAAGAGACAGAAGAAAGGGGAGGTGGCCCAAGGGGATCCTCGTAACTCACTCAGAGAAGGACTGAGGGCCCCTGAGATTTGGGGGCTGATTTATTGATAAAGTGGACTAGCTTGAGCTGCCCACAGGGGTGAAGATGTGGGGCCCGCAGGTGGTCAATAATGTCCCTACTCATTCTCTCTGCAATGTCTCTGCCCTCTGCACAGCTTTACCACGAAAAGGGGCCACCAAGTCTGTGTCAATCCCAGCAATGCCTGGGTCCAGGACTACATCAGGGACCTGGAGCAGACCTCCTGAGTGGTCGAGAAGAAACCAGTTGAAGGTGTGGGTAGACTGGGGGACGTCCCTGCAACCCCAGAAATCCTTTCTCCTCTGGGTACCTCCCCTCCCCACTAATCACATGCTGAACTCTTTCTTAACTTTAACTTAGTTAAGCTACTTAAATATTGTAAATCACTTTACCCACTTGATGTTTTCTCTGAGAAATCGTGTGACATCCTCTTTGCCCTAACCCTGTTCCCAGCCGATCATACAGTGGTGGACTCGAGTTCAGGTGCTGGTGAATGATTGTGTTCCTCTCTCTAGGTAGACTTCAGACCAAATCCACCAACAGATGCTGATTGAGTTTTTATGAGCCCCTTACTCTGTTAAAAATGTCAAAATAATAAAGATTTCTTTTGCTTTCTTAAGTAAACCTTGGGCTTCCGGCTATTCTTTTTGTTTTCCTGACAAACCACGTCCATTCATTGGAAGGGATGAGAGGGAATGCTTAGGGTAATCCGAGTAGAAAGAGAAAGCAAAACAGAGGATGACTGTCATTCCAGTGACACCAGACCTTGCACCAGGGACACATTCCTCATAGGCTGAAAAAGAAGCAAAGTACTGAAACTAGGCACGCATTTATGTGCACCAAGGAAATCTACCACTTGAATGAACACCAAAGCAAGGCCTTCTTTCATGCATATTTATGTATTTTCATAAATTAAGCTTTGTTAGTCTTTATTCTTAACAGTTTTTGAGGATTTACTATGAACCACAGCCTACCTAAGAGATTTATATGCATTGTCCAGTCTTCAAAATATCATTGTGTTGTACATACTCTGATGGTCCCCATTTGCCACATGAGGAAACAGAGTTTCAGAGCATTTAAGAAACTTGCTTAGGATCAGACATCTAGTAATGTTGGAATCGAACCTACAGAGCAGAGCAAGCCCCACACTCTTAATCAGCCACTAGGAGAGTATCTCTTAATGTGTCCATGTCCCACATGAAACAGATTTAGCAGAAATGCACAATTCACTGATAAGAGACAGCCTCTTCCGAGCAAACAAGAACCAACCTCCAAGCAATGGCAAGATGGCTCGGGTTTCTACTACCTACCCGCTGGGGACTTGATTCACAGGAAATCCATTCTTCCTCGGGAGGCCAGCGTGACAAAGGCTTTCTACTCAGCCATTTATCTCCAATTGTTTTCTCCCCTTTGTCAGTAGGCAGCATATCAACATGTCTGCTAGCTATGTAGAAACCCCAGATTGGGAATTAATAGAAAGTCTTCTCTGTTTTCAGACAAATTATTATACGTGATTCTTTTTCGAAAATAAAGACTCTCTCTTGGCTCCATGTGATAGAGGAGAGACAGCCATTTATACTAGGGTCAATTGTTCTCTCCTTCCCACACCTCCTAATCTTTGATTACAAAGACTGGAGGAATTGAGAGATCAAGAGCAGGGAAGCTGGAATGTGTCCTACTGTCTCCAAGGACTATTCACCCTGGAAAATGTATCTACCCCCAGTCGTTAGAATAATTGCAACATGAAAAGCCCTCTCAACATCTTGGATTACTACACAGAGAATTTCAGGAAGACAGAGGGCAATTACAGTGCCAAGTGCTCAAGAGAAAAGGGGAAGAAATATTTATCAATGAAGTTTTAACTCCAGAATAGTGCCACTTACATAAGGACCCCAAGAATAGCTCCACTCCATTCCCCACAATTTTGGAGGAAAAAATTATTGGCAGAAAAGGAACATCCTTCATATATAAATAAGAAACAAATGAGGAAAAGACAAACACATACTAAAAACTTATGGGTCTTAAGCAAACATTTCACATTTACATGAAATTAAAATGTTTTCTTTTTCTATAGTCCTTCTATGAGAAAGGAAAATAAATTTCACCTGGATTAAGTCAGGTAGCCTTTACAATGAAAATGGCAGGCAATCTGGCACTTCGGTCTGTACTAACTAGGATGGGTACACGAAAAAATGAAAGAAAGAAAATGTGACTGCAGTAAGAGTACTGTTTCTGGTAATGTCAAACCAAGTAATTTGGATAAAATTGAAGCAGACTAAACATTTTTCTAATTTCAGAATTTTACAGGGGCACACAAGTTTTGGTTACATAATTTACTTTTGTATAGTTTGAGTCAAAGTTGTGTGTTCTTCACACAGTTAGTGTGCATTGTACCCATTAGGTGTGAATTTACCCATCTCCTACTCCCCCCTCCCACCCACTTGATTTCCCTTGAGTTTTACTTTCATATGTGCACATAAGAGTTGATCAATTAGTTCCAATTTGACATTAAGTACATGTGTTGCTTGTTTTTCCATTCTTGTGATACTTCATTTAGAAGAATGGTCTTCCATTCCATCCAGGTTGTTATGTAAGAAACTAGATCACCATTTTTTTTATGGCTGAGTAGTGCTCCATGGTATACATATACCACATTTTATTAATCCACTCATGAATTGATGAGATTGATGGGCACTTGGGTTGTTTCCACATCTTTGCAATTGTGAATTGTGCTGCCATAAATATTCGAATGAAAGTATTTTTTTATGGAATGTCTTTTTTCCTTTGGGTAAATAGTAGTGGGATTACTGGATCAAATGTTAGTTCTACTTTTAGTTCTTTGAAGAATATCTATACTACTTTCCACAGAGGTTGTACTAGTTTGCAGTCCCACCAACAGTGTATAAAGTGTACCTTTCTCTCCAAATCCTCACTAGCATCTGTTGTTTTGGAACTTTCTGGTAAAAGCCATCTCACTGGAGATAAGTGATATCTCATTGTGGTTTTGATTTGCATTTCCCTGATGATTAGAGATGTTGAACATTTTTTCACATGTTTGTTGGCCATTAGTCTATCTTCCTTTGAAAAGTTTCTGTTCGTGTCTTTTGCCCATTTTGAAATGGCGGTTATTTGATTTTTTTCTTGGTGATTTGCTTGAGTTCTTTGTAGATTCTGGTTGTCAGCTCTTCATTGGATATATAGCATGCAAATATTTTCTCCCATTCTGTGTGTTGTCTATTTGCTCTATTGATTGTGTCCTTGGCTGTGCAGAAGCTTTTTAATTTGATCAAGCCCCATTTATTTATTTTTGTTGTTTCTGTGATTGCTTTAGGGGTCTTCTTCATAAATTCTTTGCCTAGACTGATGCCTATAAGAGTTTTTCCAACATTTTCTTTTAGAATTCTTATAGTTTCATGCCGTAGGTTTAAGTCTGTTATCAAGGTTGCACGCTAGCACCATTTCTATTCAACACAGTGCTGGAAGTCCTTGCCAGAGCAATCAGACAAGAGATGAAAATCAAGGGTATCCAAATGGGGGCAGAAGAGGTCAAACTATCACTCTTTGCTGACAATATGGTCCTATATCTAGAAAACCTCAAAAATTCTGCCATGAGACTACTGGAATTGATAAATAAATTCAGCAAAGTCTCAGGTCACAAAATCAATGTACACAAATCAGTAGCATTCATATATACAAACAACAAACTGTGAACCAAATCAAAGACTCAATACCCTTCACAATAGCAACAAAGAAACTAAAATACCTAGGAATATATTTAACTGAGGAGGTGAAAGACCTCTACAGGGAGAACTAAGGAAATAGCAGAGGACATAAACAGATAGAAAGCATATCATGCTCATGGATTGGCAGAACCAACATTGTTAAAATGTCTATACTAGCCAAAGTGAGCTACAGATTCAATGCAATCTCTGTTAAAATACCAAAATCATTTTTTGCAGATCTAGAAAAAATAATTCTATGCTTCATATGGAACCAAAGAAGACCCCATATAGCCAAAGCAACTTTAAGCAAAAAGAACAAATTGGGAGGCATCAATTTACCAGACTTCAAGTTGTACTACAAGGCTATAGTCACCGAAACAGCATTGTACTGCCACAAGAACAGAGACATAGACCAATGGATCAGAACAGAGAACCCAGATGTAAAACCATCCTCATATTGCCATCTGATCTTTGACAAAGCAGACAAAAACATATGCTGGGGAAAAGAATGCCTATTCAATAAGTGGTGCTGAGAAAATTGGATAGCCACATGTATTGATAGAAGACTGAAACAGGATCCACACCTCTTACCACTCGCAAAGAATGTAATTCTAAATGATGTATGGAACAAAGATGAAATCACAAAGGAAATTGCAAAATATTTTTAATGATGATGAAAACATGTCAAATAAAAAACTGTGGCATTCTGAAGCTAAAGTAGCACTCAGAAGAGAATTTATAATTTTCAATGCTTCTATTTGAAAAGAAGAAAGGTGTGAGATGAATAAAGCTTCCAACTTAAGAGGCTAGGAAAGGTGAGCAAATCAAACTCAAAGGAAGTAGAAGGAAGAAAATAGTAAGACTGGTAATCAATGAAGCAGAACACAGGCCAAGAAAAGAGAAAATCAGCAAAGTCAGAAATTGGTCATTTGGAAAGATTGATAAAATTGATAAACCCTTGCTGATTTCCCAGGAGATCCCAGAGCACATTCCACAGGGACAGACAGGTGGGTGGGGCAACCTGGGAGGCCCAGTCCCCTGGCCCCCCATCAGGTGTGCAGGAGATGGGGATAGATCCCTGGGATGTTTTCCACATAGACCCTGAGCCCACAGGGAGCAGAGGAAGAGCTACCTCTATACAGAAGACAGGAAAGGAAAGGCTAGCAGAGAGAACTTAACCTAAAAAGGACCCCATGAGCCACTGAAAAAAAAAACTAGGTTTTAGAATTTAAGGGACTATTACTGGGTCTGAAAATAGACGGACTCTGAGATCCCCAGAGCAGAGAGAGACCCAGAGAGGCTATAGAAGAGGGGTCCTCAAACTACGGCTCTCGGGCCACACGTGGCCCGCCAAGGACATTTATCAGGCCCTCTGGGTGTTTTTGCCACCGCTGCCTGTCCTGCTTAGCAGCCAACTCGTCCCGGCGCCACAGTGCGCATGTGTGGAACGTGGGCCGCACTCTCCAATGGCCCTCCAACGGTCTGAGGGACAGTGAACTGGCCCTGTTTAAAAAGTTTGAGGACCCCTGCTATAGACATTCAGCTGCCAATTTGTTCCTTTTGAATATATTTCTCCCTTTTGCCATTGCTTCTTCCATCACATAGGAGACAGAAAAGGTCTGTGCCACCCCCAGCAAGATGTGGGTCCAGGAATACATCAGCAACTGGAATTAAACCCCTGAGCAGTCTGGACTTGGCAAGAAAGTGCTAGAGATGCGAACACATTGGGCACAGGAACCTGGAACAGGCAACAGTCCCTGCGCCCTCAGAAGCCGCTTCCACACATACTCTGGGGCTCTCTTTATTTTAAAAGTATGTATGCTATCTTATTGGGACTTCCTCATTGTTAACCGTGTTACTTACTAAGTGTTCTGCGGAACCCTGTGGCCTCTTGCCAGCCCC